AGATCACTTCTATTTCAAAAATAATTATAAAAAGTAGCTTATTGAATTGACGAAAGTCACCCTTAAGGATGGGCATGAACCGGGAAAATGCAGTTCAGTTTGGTTCGTGGTTTGATGCCCAGTTTGCGAACCACAAATAATCACAAACTTTTAGCCACCAAATGAAGTCGTTCAATTCATGAAATTCATGACCTGGTAGAACTGCCCTCAGTGTGCTAGATACTCCAAACTCACAAGGGATCTATGGCTGACTCTCCTCTGCCCACTCTCCAAGTTTGGTGGGGATTGCATTTACGGGTTCCGAGTTATGGCCCCTTAAGAAGGTGCCACCAGGAAAGTGCTTTTTGCAGAAATGACCACCTACCATTTCACCAGAAAGCTCTTTCCTGGGGCACCTACTTTGGGGGGCTGTTACTCAGACCCTGTAAATCCAATCCTCACCAAATTTGGAGGGCAGGTAGAGGAGAGTCAACTGGAAATACTCTATAAGCTTGGTGTCTCTAGGTCTATACACTCCTGAATGTCTTGAACCTGCGCCTGTCAAAATGACCACCTATTATTGACAGGCAGGATCAGGAGTGAATAGAATAGATCCTGTGCAAGCTAGAGACATCAAAGTCACAGAGGACCTCCCCTAGATGCTCCTGTACATGCCCTCCAAGTTCTGCCCCTCCCATTGCTTTGAAGTCTGGAAAACGTATAGATTGAGCAGAGACAAACTGCCATGAGCCACCACAAACAGCTGGAAAGTTTGTGGAAAGGTTGTGCCAGTTGACCTGTTATGAACTTCACTTTGCAAACCATGAGCCATCAAATTTCACGATGCACTTTAGTTTGTGAGCCAGTTCGTGCCCATTCTTAGTCAACATCAGTATGCAGAGATTGAAAATTGGAGCCCATCTTGGATGAATTTGCCACGTGGAGAAGAAATTCATTTCATAGCCCATTTCACCAGCCTACATGTGTCCATGCCACCAGTCAGCCCACTTTCACCAGCTTTGTGGTGCTGCTCCACTCAGCATAAGTTGTGATGCATGCATCTAACATGAACTCTACATGGATCTGAATTCTTAGTAAGTCAGTTTGGTAATATGACTCACTCTCACCAAGTACACGTATAGTTGCCACTAAAAGGCCATGAAACAAATATCAGCACGATTTAGGTCTGAAATGAGAGAAAAAGCAAAAGTACTAAAGAAGTTGAGATTCCTCCTATGCTATTTCTTGCTTAACAGTGTCTGGGCTGTGGAGGGGCTTCTGGCAGAACAGTAGCAACAGGTGCTTACTCGGACACTCAGAACAGCCTTCTTGAGCAACAAAAGAATCAGGACTAGCAAGTTACAGAACACTAATTATAGCCAAACACTTTCCTTGGTGCTTCTGGCAATAGCTTCCTTCATTTCACAGTCTAATCCCATTACTTACAGCTGACAGCAGTCTCTCTCTCTCACGCACACACACATACATATATACTGGGGAGACTGCAAATAGTAAAAATCTTTATAGCCTTTCTTTCACCTAACTATTTTGCCTAGGATCCACACTAGGTATACTAAACTGCTTTCAGTCCAGGGCAAACAGCTCTTTCTTCTAATTAAATTGCAGCCAGGGTTCTCTCCCCCTCCCATTCATAAGACTTGAGTTTATTTTTTATCGTGACTGTTTTGGGTTTTTTTAACCATCCACTGATGAAATGTTTCAGATCAGTGCAGAGGAAGCAGTGATGTAATCAAGCACAGAGCTTAAAAATAGTCATAGGGAAAAAGCAGCTTTGTTCCTCAAAGGGAAGGAAGATCATGTGTTGCTGCAGAAATTCACATGACCTGCTTGATAAAGCAGCAGTGAGTCCACATTCCTATAGCAGCCGTACTCTCTCACACATTGGGGGGGGGGGGCACCAGAGAAAACTGTCAGCCTGCACAACTTCCAGCTGTTGCTTGCACTCACTGCTTCCTCAAAAGGCTTTGGTTCTTTCCCGCCTAACATAAACCTGTCAGTTTTCCTTCAAACAAGTTACATTTCCTAAAAGATCAACCAAAAATGTCTCTCTTTCTTATTACAATTTATATGATGGTGGGACCTGATGACTCCAGACAGGATTGCAATACTCTTATTTCTGATGCTGTACAAAAAAACACAGGAACATTTCAGAACATTGGCTACCTCTGCTTTTTCCACACACACCCTCGTATACAGCAGTAAAATTATCCTGTACTGATGAAGTTGTCTTCTCATAGGGCTGTAGTATGTATTCTGGCATTCTAGTGGAGGAGGAGGAGGAGGAGGAGGAGGAATTGGATGTATACCCTGCCCTTCACTTAGATTCTCAGGGCAGTTTACAGTCTCATTCCCTTCCTCTCCCCACAACAGACACCTGGAATATAACATCTCACAACTTAAATAAATCCAAACATCTACATACCAAACTAAAATATGTGGGATATCCCTTGCCTTGTTTTTACAAATTCTTCCCATTCAGTCAGTATTTACTCATCTGCAATTATCCTGGGAGCAAGATCCTATAATGCAATATCAGCTTCCTCCAAAATTTCAATCTGCACAGGTCTCAGGAAACTGAGATTCCAGAGACACCTTGAACTTTCCCCCCACTTTTTTCTTTCTAAGGAGCTCTGCAAATCTATTGTCCATTTTCAGTTTGGTTTAGTGATTAGGTGCGCGGACTCTAATCTGGGAGAACCGGGTTTGATTCCCCACTCCTCCACTTGCACCGTCACCAACCCGTACCGTCGGCCCGAAGAAGCGGATTTAAAAAGTACCAGCAAAAGGGTAGTGTCATGCCTGCCCCTGCTGATGTCATGCCTGCCTTTGCTGATGCCCCTGAACAGGCTCCTGAGGACCCTGAACAGGCTCCTGAGGACAGTACTGCAGCAGAAAGGCAAAGACTGGATCCTGTAGCTGAAAGCTATCTAAGTGGTGAGGAGGATAGAGCCTCCCAGGGAACACCTGCAAGGGATCAGTCTCTGCTGCAGCCCAGTAATTCATCATCAGACTCGCCTCCACCTGTAACCAGGCTCAGGAATGTAAGAAGACAACAGCTGAGAGAGCGAAGGCAGAATGCACGCATGCGTGCCAGAAGATCTCTTAGCCCTGATTACTGACAGGATCCTGTCCTCACTCCTGGCTAGCTAATGAGTTGATTAGCTAGCACTGTATATATGCAAGTCTGTTGCCAGCAGTCATTTGTGCTGGCAACGTCGTTTGTTCAGGACCTGAATCCTTGCATCTCTGCTCCAGACCTTGTGGAATTCTTCTCGGCTTGATCCTCGGCTTTTGACCTTTGGCTTTGTTGACCCTGCGTTCATCTCTGACTCCTCTGGTATTGTTGTGATTTATGGACTTGAAACTTTGGTATGTCTGACCCTGCTTTTGGACTGTGATTTAAACCTGCTTGAACCTTGCTACCTGATTTGCCCGGCTTGACCTCGGACTGTTCCTGGACTTTTGCTTGCTTGTGTCACGCCCCCTGGTCCTGCCGTGACAGATTGCCAGCACCCACAACGCTCACACATCCCCACCATGGAAGACGGAGCAACCGGAGGTGTGGACCCCATGGAGGAAATGCTAGCACAGGTACAGCACTTAACTCAAGCTGTGATTGCTTTGCAACAACAGGCTGCTACAAATGCTGTTGCTGTAGCAAATGCTGGTACACCTCCCCCACGTTGCCCAATAAATCCTCCTGATCGTTTCGGTGGGAATGTTGATGAGTTCCAGGCATTCCTTGCCCAATGTAATCTGTATATTGAGCTCAGGGCTCGGGACTTTGTTTCTGAGAAGGCTAAAGTTTGTTTCATTTTAAGCCTCCTTAAAGGGCAAGCTGCCAAATGGGCCACGCCCTTGCTGGTGGGGAATTCTCCCTTACTATCTGACTTCCAGGCTTTCAAGGCTCATTTTGCCGCTGCTTATGCCAATCCTGTGAAAGCTGAAACAGCTAACCGCAAAATAAGGGCTCTTACTCAGCATAAAACCTCTGTCGCTCAGTACACCAATGAGTTCCAGCTGCTGGCTCAAGACCTGACATGGAATGAGGCAGCGTTTATTGACCAGTATACTGAAGGGCTGTCTGACGAAATTCTAGATGAACTTGCACGCAGTGAACGCCCTGACACTTTACAAGCCCTCATCCATCTCTGTCTCCGCATTGATGGGAGGTTACAGAGCCGCCGCCAAAACAGAAAAAAGGCTCTCGCCTTCCCCAGCAGAACCCTTCAGACCTTCCACCGGCCTTCCTCCCCCGGCTCCTCTCCACCTCCTGCAGGCACAGAGCCCATGCAACTTGGCACCGCTCGGCCCCGCCTTACTTCTGAGGAGAAGCTGAGACGGCGCACTCAACAGCTGTGTCTGTATTGTGGAGAAGCCGGGCATTTTGCCTCCAGCTGCCCTGCCAAGCAGAAGCGCTCACCACAACCGGCTCCACCGGTAAAAGAGCAGCCCCAAGCCTGACCGGACCCCCCGGTTTGGGGCCTATTCTGGGGTCCTCCAGTACTCCATACTCACCACAGACTCCCTTCCTGGTGCCAGTGCGGTTGCAACTCCCAGACAACCGCTGGCTCTTCATCCACGCCATGTTGGACTCAGGGGCCGCCTGTTGTTTCATGGACATTCTTTTTGCCAAAGAACACGGCGTTCCCCTTCAAGAGAAGGCAACCCCAGCGCTTGTAGAAGCCATTGATGGACGCCTGCTCCGCTCCGGACCCGTCGTCCAAGAAACCCAGCCACTCACCTTGTGGATACAGCAGCACCAGGAACAAATAACTTTCGACTTGGTGAGGATGCCGAGGTTTCCAGTCATCCTGGGTCTCTCCTGGCTGCGCCACAACAACCCTCAGGTAGACTGGGTACATCAGGAGCTCCAGTTCGGCACCAGTCCTGCACCCACGCCTTCCGTGGAAACGATGGTAGACACCCCGTCTTCAGCACCATCGCCAGAACCATCACCAGCTGCTTTGCTGCTGGGCGCTGCGGCTCCCGCTTTACCTGCCACCTATCAGGACTATGCAGACGTCTTTGACGAAAAGGAGGCAGACCAGCTACCCCCGCATCGGCCCTACGACTGTGCCATCAACCTCATCCCCGACGCTCCGTTACCCTCAGGCCGCCTTTACCCAATGGCAGAACCGGAGCTGGCTGCGCTGAGGGACTATTTGGACAAAAATCTGGCCAGAGGGTTTATTCGGCCCTCTACGTCTCCTCTGTCTTCCCCAGTCCTCTTTGTGAAAAAGAAGACAGGAGACCTCAGGCTCTGCAATGACTACAGGGCCCTGAACAAAATCACCATACGGGATAGGTACCCCCTCCCGTTGATCCCTGAGCTCATGGACCGTTTGCGGGGAGCTCAAATCTACACAAAGCTAGACCTGCGTGGCGCCTACAACCTGGTGAGAATCAAGGCAGGAGATGAATGGAAGACCGCCTTTGGTACCCGCTATGGCCAATATGAGCACTTGGTCATGCCCTTTGGCTTGACCAACGCCCCTGCAGTGTTCCAACGCTTTATGAATGACATCTTCCGTGACCTCCTCGACCGCTTCGTGGTAATTTATTTAGATGACATCCTGATCTTTTCCGCCACCGTGCCTCAACACATTGACCACGTAAGGCAAGTGTTGCACCGCCTGCGCACCCATGGACTCTATGCGAAACTAGAAAAATGCGAGTTTCATCGTAAGTCTGTTGAGTTCCTGGGGCATATTATCTCCCCTGAAGGCACGCTGATGGACCCCAAGAAGGTGGAAGCCATTCTCCAATGGCAGCCTCCCCAAAACCGGAAGGATGTTCAACGCCTCCTGGGGTTCTCCAACTACTACCGCCAATTTATACCCGCCTATGCCGACCTCACCAAGCCTCTGACCCGTCTCCTTCGCCTGAAGGAACCCTTCCGATGGACCCCGGAAGCTGACCAAGCCTTCGCCATTTTGAAGCAACGTTTTGCGACCGGCCCCCTCCTGCGATACCCTGACCCGAACCTTCCTTTTGTAGTGGAAGCTGATGCCTCTAGTGTGGCCTTAGGGGCCGTTCTATCCCAGAGAGCGGATCCCTCTCAGCCGTTGCAACCCTGTGCCTATTACTCCCGGCAACTCTCCTCAGCCGAACAGAACTACACCATCTGGGAAAGAGAGTTACTGGCCATCAAGACCGCCTTCGAGGTTTGGCGTCATCACCTCGAAGGGGCCCGTCATCCAGTACAGGTACTCACAGACCATCGCAACTTGGAGCACCTCCAAACCACTCGCCGGTTGAACCAGCGCCAGATTCGTTGGTCCCTCTTTTTCTCGCGGTTCAACTTCACGATTTCCTACATTCCACAGACGCAAAACCAAAAAGCCGACGCTCTGTCCCGCAAACCGGAATATACCCCAACGTCGAAAACGGAAGCACCTGACACCAGTATCCTACCACCTAACGTCTTCGCCGCAGCTCCCGAACCTGCATCCCTCGCTGAGGACATTCGGGCCAGTCAGGCTACAGACCCTTGGGCTCAACAACGCCTTCAGGAGGTACAACAAGGGGATTCCAAAGACCTAACGGTCAAAGACGGCGTACTCTATCATCGGGACCGGGTCTATGTTCCTCCCGGACCCCTGCGAGCCCGCATCCTGCGCCTCACCCACGATGCACCTCCAGCCGGACACTTCGGGCAACACAAAACCGCTCATCTGCTCACCCCAGACTTTTAGTGGCCCCGGTTTCGGGCCGACGTTGACCAGTATGTGAGCACGTGTGATGTCTGCCGCCGGGCCAAGGAGGTTCCTGCCAAGCCCTCCGGCCTCCTTCGTCCGCTCCCTGTCCCATCGAGCCCTTGGGAAATCATCTCGATGGACTTCATCGTCGATCTTCCCCGCTCACACGGACATTCTTGTATCTTTGTGGTGGTGGATCTCCTCACAAAGATGGCGCACTTCGTTCCTTGTCCGAAAATCCCCACCGGGCCGGAAACTGCCCAGCTCTACCTCCATCACATCTTCCGGCTACATGGGGCCCCAGCACAGATCATATCAGATCGAGGCCCGCAATTCTCTTCCCGCTTCTGGCAGGCATTGCACCAGGGACTGGGGACGGAGGTTCACCTGTCATCCGCGTACCATCCCCAAACCGACGGCCAGACGGAGAGAACGAATGCCACTCTTGAACAATATCTCCGCTGTTATACCACGTACCAACAAGACAACTGGTACTCCTTGTTACCTTTGGCCGAGTTCGCCTACAATAACGCGGTGCACTCGTCCATCCAAGTCACCCCATTCGCAGCCAATTATGGATATAACCCCCGCTTCTTCTTGCCCGTTGAACCCCCATCTGACGTTCCTGCTGCAGATGCCAGGATCCAAGAGCTCCATGCACTTCACGAACTCCTTCGGGAGCAATTACAACATGCCAAGGAAGCCTATAAACGGGCAGCGGACCGCCACCGACAGGAAGGGACACCCCTGAAAGTCGGCGACCTCATCTGGCTCTCCACCCGGTACCTCCGCGCTCCTGGCCGCTGTGCCAAGCTCAACGCTCGCTTCATTGGGCCCTACAAAATAGACGCCCAGATCAACCCTGTAGCCTTCCGTCTTGTTCTACCAGACCATCTCAGGATTCACCCCGTATTCCATCGATCCCTCCTGCAATTGACAGCTCCTCCGGACCCGAACCGGGACACTCCACCAGCACCCCCACCTCCTGTCATGATCGATGACGAGGAGGAATACGAGGTGCAGCAGGTCCTCGATTCCCGCCTTCATAGGGGTGTCCTGCAGTACTTGGTGGACTGGAAGGGCTATGGTCCTGACGATCGATCCTGGGAACCTGCCTCTCACCTGCATGCCCCGGACTTGGTCCGGCACTTTCATACAGCCTACCCGGACAAACCTGGCCCTTTCGATGAGGGGGGGCCTGAGGGGGGGGATAGTGTCATGCCTGCCCCTGCTGATGTCATGCCTGCCTTTGCTGATGCCCCTGAACAGGCTCCTGAGGACCCTGAACAGGCTCCTGAGGACAGTACTGCAGCAGAAAGGCAAAGACTGGATCCTGTAGCTGAAAGCTATCTAAGTGGTGAGGAGGATAGAGCCTCCCAGGGAACACCTGCAAGGGATCAGTCTCTGCTGCAGCCCAGTAATTCATCATCAGACTCGCCTCCACCTGTAACCAGGCTCAGGAATGTAAGAAGACAACAGCTGAGAGAGCGAAGGCAGAATGCACGCATGCGTGCCAGAAGATCTCTTAGCCCTGATTACTGACAGGATCCTGTCCTCACTCCTGGCTAGCTAATGAGTTGATTAGCTAGCACTGTATATATGCAAGTCTGTTGCCAGCAGTCATTTGTGCTGGCAACGTCGTTTGTTCAGGACCTGAATCCTTGCATCTCTGCTCCAGACCTTGTGGAATTCTTCTCGGCTTGATCCTTGGCTTTTGACCTTCGGCTTTGTTGACCCTGCGTTCATCTCTGACTCCACTGGTATTGTTGTGATTTATGGACTTGAAACTTTGGTATGTCTGACCCTGCTTTTGGACTGTGATTTAAACCTGCTTGAACCTTGCTACCTGGTTTGCCCGGCTTGACCTCGGACTGTTCCTGGACTTTTGCTTGCTTGTGTCACGCCCCCTGGTCCTGCCGTGACACTCAGCCCCACCTACCTCACAGGGTGTCTGTTGTGGGGAGGGGAAGGGAAAGGGAAAGGAGTTTGTAAGCCGCTCTGAGACACCTTTGGGTAGTGAAGGGCGGGATATAAATCCAATCTTCTCCTCGTCCTCGTCCTCATCCTCGTCCTCGTCTTCGTCTTCTATATTCCAATCCACAAACACCTATGAAGGTTTTATTCCAGATCCAGACCAACTTAATTAAAGCTATAGAGACATAAGCTATCTAAAGAAAACCATGCACCACAGGGGTTTTTGTTTGTTTGTTTTCTGTATAAACAAACAGATTCTGAAAGCAATACGGTTCTTTAAACCAAAGAGTGGTTCCAGAAATGCTGAGAGGTCCTGTAATGGTAGACAACTATCATTAGCATTTGAAGTAATATCCCCATACCCAAGCAGTAGGAGTAACTGGGCCACCCTTACTGCAAGGAGAAAAACTTGCTATTGGGGGAATTACCATATGATTATTCTGAAATTTTCTGAAAAGATAAGAAGAGCCCTGCTGGATCAGACTGATGGTCCATCTAGTCCAGCATCCTGTGTCACACAGTGGCCAACCAGTTCCTCTGGATGGCCAACAACAGGGCATAGAGGCCAAGGCCTTCCCTTGGTGTTGCCACCTGACTCTGGGATTCAGAGGACTAGTGTCTCTGGATGTGGAGGTTCCCCTCAGTCACCATGGCTAGTAGCCATTGATAAATTTTGGATTATATGAGTGGACAGCCTCCATTCCAAAAGCAATGACTTATTTTTAACCACGTGTCCAAGATACCGCAGATAACACTCCCTTCAACATTTCAAAGATGAGAAAGTAATGGCACATTTATATGAAAGATCACTTTGAGAGGACCACTCCCTTTACACATTATTGAACACTCTGTTCTGTTTTCTATAAATCCTCTTTTGGTTTAAAAGCCAAGATTCTTTTTGTTTAGAGATATATTATAAAGCCATCATTGTCCAAAATTATGCTCTTGCAATTCAAAATACATATCAGGTATCTATAGTATGTGAAATTGCAGGATGTTTATATGGTGCCTTAGAGATAAGATGCAACCAGATCCCATCAGTAATTTTCCCCCCTGCTCCTAGACATGGAGGAGAACCCAAAGAATGAGAACCTGAGTGAAGACGGTCATTTTGTTGTTATTGTTGTTGTTGTTTTATTGTCCAAAGTCACTGTGTGGGAAATTTTAATCACTGCAGAATCCCACAGGTTCAGTGTCATGTATCATTGCAACAGTGACTGACAAGGCAGGAGGTGGCCTGGGAGCCCTGAATTTTGTTGATTAAAAAGTCAGGACTTGGCAGGATGAACACAAGCAAGGAATAACTTTGAGGCTTCTTTCATGGTAGCCAAGATGGCAGTTATGTTACGGGAAAAAGGGTAACCCATATAATTTGTCTTTCTTTTTAAAAAAAATCTGACAAGGTATAAATTAGGGAAATAAGGGAGAGGAGTGCAAATCAATATTTAGTTGCAAAGTAAGGGAGTTTTAAGAAATAATATGGCAGACAAAGATAAGGGAATGTTCTTTAGGTTACGAGAGACGTGAAATTCAAACTATTGTCAAGTATATTTCTCATTATTCATTTTCAAACATCACAACAGAGTACAAAACACGCATAACCAGATACTTGAATGCAAAGAAGAGTTATTTATATAGGTTGCTTTCAAGGACACTTATTGCGTTAAATAACTGGGAGCATTAGATGACTGAGCTTCACGTAATGTGTACTCTACTGTAGTTCCACTTTAAGAAACAAAAAGATGGAATCTGATTGTCCTAGAAATGCAAAACTAGAAATAGACTGAATTTATGAAGCATTTAGTTCTGTCTAATTTCTTTCAGAAGGCTACAGAAGAAGAGAAGAGATTGGATTTATATCCCGCCCTTCACTACCCAAAGGTGTCTCAGAGCGGCTTACAAACTCCTTCCCCTCCCCACAACAGACACCCTGTGAGGTAAGTGGGGCTGAGAGAGCTGTGACAGAAACTGCTCTTTTTTGAGAACAGCTATGCCAGAACTATGCCTTGCCCAAGGTCATCCAGCCAGGTGCAAGTGGAGGAGTGGGGAATCGAACCCAGTTCTCCCAGATTAGAGTCCGCACACTTAACCACTAGAGAGAGCGGAGTTGGCCACTGCTGGGACAAAAACAAACAAGTGAAAGTTGGAATTCAAACAGGTATGTATTTGGAACAGATCAATAAGCAAATCCACAAATGTCATTACAGTCATGATGGACATGAGAATGGCCTTTCCTGATGGATTCCCAAGGATTAGTTTTAGATAACTTCCCACAGATGGATTGGGTTGTATGTGAGCAAAGGAGACCAAAAATTTAAAGCACTAGAACTGTAATTTATTTTAGACTATAATTAGCTGCATTTCCTTTGGTAATCTCAAAAACTTAAGACGTGTACAACCCTGTCATTGGAGCAACAGGATAATTATTACAGTACAAACTGTTAAAAGTAAAAATGTCCTTCGTTTTTCTTTGATGTCTAAGAAAGAATAATTAATTTAAAGACATGCAAAAATTAGGGGAATTTAAAATATACATAACAAATGTAGTCTAGTCTTGTTGAGATACAGTGTGCCTTTTATAGACGTTTCCTCACTCTTCCAACCACAATGGAGCCCCTGCAGCCTTTCAGATCTACTCTTCAGGGTAGGCAGGTTATGAAACAGCATAATTAAACTATCCCAAATTAAAGCAGGTCTGACTTTTAAAAGTTCTTTCTGCAGTCCTGTGATTTCTCTGTGAACTGTATCACTTCTGGAAAATGGAACATTAACAAAGCCTTACTCTTCCATAAATAGATTCTACAAGGGACTATATAGCACAATGCATTGGGTTTTGTGGACAATTGATTCATTGCTGAAGCGCTTAAGAACAGAGGCCATCACCATAAATGATACTTTCACATGAAAATAAACACCAGCACAAACACCAGTTTGGGGTTATGCTCTGTTATTAGCAGAGTTTGTGGCCACCTGCAGGAGTTCCCTCGAGGTATCCTTCCCTATTACAAAGATGGCTTTGGGCATATCTGATACAAGACCACCGAGCTAAAATGGAGTTCTAGGTGGCTACCCCATGAAAATCATGGAGAATTTTACAAATAACTACTCCAAAGTCTTCTGGTGTTACGTATTGAGCCTAAGCCATCCCTGAATGTGGACCTTGAACAGGGTGAGCTTGCTCCCCAAGAAGAATAGCTGACCAGGATCCTGGAACTGACCTATAGATAAGCCGTGTAATGTAAATAGCCTATCCTAGGGAGTGGGGGTGTGTGGGGTGTGGTGTTTGCATGCTTTATAAGCAGGGCTCAAACACCGCTGGGTGTCCTTGTTGTGTTCCTGAAATCACTAAATAAACTAGAGCTGATCACTGCAATTTGTCCAGAACCCAGTATTTAACAGTTCCTTTAAATTACTCCACTCATTCTTCTTTGCTGCCATTTATGCCCACAGCTTTCAGAACTTCTATGTGGTACCCCCCTCCTTTCTCTCCCCTTAAATTCCATCATCTTTTCCAAGAAGGCTTCACGTTAATCCTTTAGTCCGCAAGCCCATCTGAAATTAGAGTTATGTTTCTTGTAACATCCCCCCCCCCCGTTTTCTGTGATATAGTGCTGCATTTGATTACTGCCTTTGTTTTCACTTCTCTAATTGGTTTGTTATCTTTGCCTTCCTTTAATCTTCCCTTTATTGTCTTAAGTTTAAATGTAAAGGTTTCCCTTGCTCGAAAGCCAGTCGAATCCGACTCTAGGGGGGCGGTGCTCATTTCCATTCCCAAGCTGAACAGCCAGCGCTGTCCGAAGACTTCTCTGTGGTCATGTGGTCGGTGTGACTAAATGCTGAGGTGCACTGAACGCTGTTACCTTCACACTGAAGCAGTACCTATTTATCTACTTGCAATTTCTTGCTTCTGAACTGCTAGGTTGGCAGGAGCTGGG